TGATCTTACTTCAGCTTTCCTTTGCTTTACAGACCTGCAAAGGTTGTAAATGCAAGGATTGAGTGCAAAGTTATTTTTTCATTGCTGTCATAACTGCAAATGGTTAGTAAATTTAATATTTGTCTCACTCTTGCCTTATCTAACTATATTTTCCCCCCAGAATTTGGCATTCCTTCAATTGAAATCTGCATATTTTGCTAACCTTAAGAGCTAATGTCATGTAAAATTAGCATTTGGAACTACTGCCAGGGACACCTTATGTTCAAATTCCAATGAACTTTCTGTGGAACTTTGTAATAGGCAAATTCTTTTTCAGTTTAACCTACTTGAAGAATAAAAAGATGAGACTATTTAATAAAATACCTCAGACGTAATGAAAAATCAAAGTTCCTGCATATTAGCACGCTAGGGTTTTTTCGAAGCATGAATCCATATGACAAATAGAAAAGATGCACAATCTCAAAATTCCAACTATTTGTTTTTTTTTTTTAAATCATAACTCTGATTTTTTTCCCTCTTAAATGGTCCTTTGTTTCCTTTGAAAATTGTAACCATTATACTCAGGATCTTTCTTGAAAACACAATTTCCTTCTCTTTTCTAGTATGCACAAACGAGTTTTCCCTGCCTACTGAGAAATGCTAACTTGAAATCATGTGAAGAGAGTCTGTTGATGCAAAAGGCTCTTGAGTGATTGTTCTTAGCTTAATTATTTCATGATTCTTTCTTTAAAAACCTTAGGTGGAATGCAAGATTATAACTATCTTTGGGCCAACTGCTTTGAGGTCACGTTTGAACTTTCCTGTTGCAAATACCCACCAGCTGTGCAGCTTGAGCAGGAATGGCAGAATAACCGGGAATCTCTGTTCACCTTCATTGAAAAAGTAAGACTTGACTTTAGCCCTTTTCTAGACAATGTTAGCAAACAATCCATGTATACTTGGATCTGTCTTTGTTCTGGAAAATGAAAAGATCTTATTCATCTTTGTCAGGGCTTTCCTTGCCTATAGAATTTGAATATGCCTCTTGTTTGCCAAAATGTCAGCTCTTTCTAATCCCTTCTGACTCATAAATTGGACCAAGTACACAGTTTTTTAATGCCTGTATTATTGCTTAGCATGATTCATAACAAATGAAATAAGAGATAATGTGATTGTGGTACGCCAACATTTAGGCAGTATTTAAAGAGAAGAAAATACCACTGATCCATGTTTGAATTTCCTTGTTTCAAATCACAAAAAGATGTTTGTTTTAGATATATACTAATCTATAATAATAGATGTATTTAGTTTTAGCTGTTTTGTGACTCCAGTTAATCATGGCTTATTTATTAAATTATGGTTGAGCAAGCCATAATCAGACCTGTGTTAATCAGATGTTTGTCTCAGTTTCCTATCGCTCTAACACATTTAACAATTGTTTGTTTACTTATCCATATACAGCAGGGAATAAGTAAATTAGATTTCTGTCTCTGCTCACGTTCCTTTGCTTTCATTTGGTCAGAGTAAAAGTGTCTGGTCAATTCCATTGTTCACAAGCTTTATCCCGTGCCACTTATATTATCTAAATCCTCTCAGATCTTTCAGTGTATCTGTGTGTGCTCAAAATATTCAAGTATCCTCAAAAGTACTTTACCTCAAGAGTTACTTGTAGTTCTTTCAAAGTTACTTCCTGGGCTGATCCCTCTTTCATATCTAAAGTCAATACTGGCTGTATTCACACATCACACTAAATGGAAGATTTGTTTGGTTTTGGCTTAGTGTAATATCTGAATTTGACTATTGATGTTTGGTGTCAGATATATGCAAACTCTACCTTTGTGGTTTATTCAACAAACTATGATTGACTTAACCAGTGGCTGAGCGTGGACTCAGCTACTGACTACATCGGCATGATATATTAAGCCGTTTTACAGTGTGCATTATTGTATCCTAATCCAGAAACTTCATCACTTTGTGGCTATCAATCACAGTCAGTATCGTTTTTGAGGGTGGGGGCTAGCAGTGTAATCAGTGGCTCAGAATGTTGTCCAAATCCAGGCTAAAGGCTAGCTAATAATTAAGGAGTCATTTGTCCTCTTTGAATATGGCATGAGGCAAGGAGTGCTGGCAAAGTTGAGCTGCTCATATAGCAGCAGCATCACCATGGATAGTTTTCTGTTTTCACTCACCATAACTGTGTAGGAACTCCCTTTTGATAACAGAGAGGCTAGAGGAAGAATTAGCTTTCCTCCAGCCTGTACCTGTCATTTTGCTGTTGTGCCTAAGCTAAAATCCTCCTGAAAGTTGCAGCTTGGCAGTCACTACAAAGGTTACTGAAATACCAATTAAACAGTGGAGGACAGATCACGATTTGTCACTGTTTTCAGCATTAATGTCTTTTACAGGTCTCAGGGAATTAGTTTGCTGAATACTTTTACCCCTCTGAGAGGGTTGTCACAAACTGGGTGAGAGCAGAGCATTCGGTATCTAAATCTGTTGCACAAAATCCTTTAGGCATGGAAATACTTAGTTTTCTTTCCTCTAACTTCCCCGAGGAAAAGGTCTTTATTTTTTTACCCAGATGGCTTAAGGCATATATTGCAGCGTATATGAAACCTGCCTAAACCTGTTCTAATAATTCACTCTGCCAGGGTAGTGGTCATGTCTGCAATCTCCTCCCTCTTTCATCTCCTACAGAAATATTTAGGGCCATGCATAAAACACAGTATCTGTACTAAACTCTAGAGAGTTGTTATCTTATCTTGAGGCAGTCTTTTGCTCCCTCTTTCATAGTGTCAACTCCTGTTGCCCATCCTAGACATTTGGTTAGCTGTATATTTCCACTGTTAAATGCTTTTTCACTTAAACAGTATAGTATTGCATACTTCCCATGAAGATTCCCTTGAGGATGTTTCCAGACCATGCCCTCATAAATCAGTAGTTGACTTGCATAAAGCACAGTAATGGACCATAAATTTATTGACATCTTCCTCAGCCTTCTAGCTGTGGAAGAAATTCTTTCAACTTTACTCTATGAGCTTCTTAATTTGTACTCTGTCTTAAGCTCTTTTATGAGATGGAACCAAGACACCATCAAACTATAGATAAAAAATTAGGTTACTGCCTCACTGCAAAGTGAAAACCCATTATTAGATATTTATGTCACATCAAAGGAGAAATGACATGACAAAGAATGACAACCCCATGTCATTTGTGTAGTTTTACTAATGAATGGTAGATAATGCTGAATATGAAATGAATATGAAGTAACATAATAATATTAAACAATGAATATACTTTTTAATATAACATTCCCTCTTATACTTGGCAGTTGCCAAATGTATTTCTATTGAAGTTCCTGTCAATAGGCATGGCAATAAATAATGATGTGCTTTGCATACTTCCTTGAACATAATTTTATATGCTACAGCCACATGAATCTTAATTCAGCATCCGTTTTGAGTGAAGCATTTTGCCAAAAGCAATGCCCAAAAGATGGTATATTTATCTGTAAAATTGGCCTGGGTTGATTTATCATTTGCTTTTACAAGCATGATTCAAAAACACACAACTGTCCTCTTGTTTTGCAGATTTTTCTTGGCATTTTTTTTGAAAGACAGCCTGTGTTCTGTTTTAGCAGCTGTAAGAGTCAGAAACAGTCTCTTGGTTACAGAAAAAGAAATCTAAAACTGCAGTCATAGCTGATGAATCTATGGCAGCTTCACATATTTCATTCAATCTAAAGGCTAACGCAGATGTTCTTTCAAGTATACTGAACCTTACATAAAGCAAGTCGTAATATAGAAATGCACGGGCGTACTGTCAAGTTACCTGTGCCCCTGTGGACTAGTTTTTGATTTTGCCAACTCGCTGGTGATACTGTCTGGCTACCCTAGTTATGTAAAAGATGTGCTATTCTTTGCCAATTTTCCTTGTTGTTTTCCTTATTATTTTCATTTCATTTCATTCCATTTCATTTTTGGGTGCAAGCTTACAGCACAGTGTTAACCTTCCTTGGATGAAAGAAAAAAACCCAAATATTGCACAGATCTCTTAGCATGAAATTAGAAGATCCCGAATGTGAGAGGAATAATGTAGCCACATGAGGTTAAGATTTTTTACAACATACATGTTCTGGATCTAATCACATTTATTTACTACAGGTACATATTGGAATTAAAGGATTTGTGAGAGATTCGGTTACTGGGGCTGGCTTGGAAAATGCAACCATTGCTGTGGCTGGGATTGCTCACAACATTACAACTGGACAGTTTGGTGACTATTACAGACTGCTGGTGCCTGGGACCTATAATGTCACAGCTTCGGTCATGGGGTAAATTATGTGGAGCAGGCATAGATATGTTTGTTATCTTGGCATAGCTTTTTCTAGTAGGGAGCTGCTTTATGGAAATGTTAGAAGTCATTCCTGCTGCTTTGTCTCATTCTGCCATAAACTAGGCAGGTGCTGTCATATAATCATATTGCTTGTGCAAACAACAAAAAAGCAGGCACGTAGAAAGGCAAGAAAGGGCAGCATTTTCTTGTCTAGCTCCATGAGCATCAATCCTTCCTTCATTGTTTCTTTGTTAAGGTAAATTAGGTGAAGGATTTGGAGCTGCTGCTCTGCAAGCCTGATGTTTGCAACTAAGTAAACGTAATGGGGCTTTGACATGGGAAACTTGGGTTCAATTCATCAGTTGGCAATGAGAAATAATGTTGCTGTTTGGTCTTATTTTTCCATTAGTAAAATGGGAATAATAATCAAGATTAATAAATACAGTGTTTGGTTTGCTAAAAATGTGCGAGGAAACAATACTGCTGTGCTGCATGTTAGTCTATAATAAGCTCCATTGTATCCTATTGATCATCTTCTTAGTGTTCCATGTATTATGAAGCAATCTTATTATTAGATTTTTTATTTAAAAATTGTTTTGATATGGATGATCTCTTTGTAGTTACATGTGCCTCAGATGAGGCCTTTCTTGGTATCACTTGGTTCTGGTGTCCTGAAGCAGTCCTTCCCTAGTATGTTATCCACCCATGCCTTTCCCATGAGGAAGAAGGGACAGTTGGATGAAGTCAGGTTTCAGGGATCTGACACTTGAAGACCTTTCCAGTTGGGGGGATATTTTACCTCTTCACGCTTTGCTTGCTCTGTGCCTTTCCGGACTGGGAACAGTAGATTAGCATTAATCTAGTTCTGAGAGATAGCATTTCAGTAGGGGTTTGCAAAATGTTTTGAATTAAAATATAATAAGAATGAAATGTCTTGTCTTGAATATGAAACAGCTTTTGATGATTTTGTGAACATTTCATACACACAGACGCCCAGAATGATTAAAACAGCCTGTTTTGAGCTTGGGAAAAACTGTTTCACATTCAACATTTTGAATTTGTCTGGTTCAGCTTAAAGCCCTTTTCACACTCTTGTATTTCAAAATGGTCCCAGTTGGGAGCTCTTGCCATTGTCCACTCTCAGGCCTGCTTTAAAGTATTCCTGACACCCTAACGACCATAAAAGTCAGGTGATACCTATAGGATGATGAGGAATGTGGGCTCCACCCCTGTAATGTCATCTGATCCTTGGGAAAAAGCTAAGTAGCAGTCTAGTCCTTGGAACAATTTTTGGTTACATTCCTGGTCTACAGATAGCTAGCTTTTCAGATGTCTGTATGTTGAAATGGAAGTTAAAGTAAACTTTGTTAGGGATGCTCTTAAACCAGGTCAAGCTAATTTCAGGCTGAAAGTAAATTCTTCCCTTTTTTCCCCCATCAGTTATCTGTCAGTCACCACAGAGAACATTGAAGTGAAGGAAGAGAATGCAACTGTAGTGGACTTTTCCTTGCATCCTGCTGTCACAGTGTTGACTTCCAGCCCTACCAAAGAAACTCCGATAGCTGCCAACAACTCTCTTGACAACACAGCAAGTACAACTGATGTAAACAGATCAACCTCTGTTCGTCAGGTGATCCAGCCAGATGATTTTCGCCACCACCACTTCCCTGATATGGGCATCTTTCTGAGGAAATACGCTACTGAGTACCCAAACATCACACATCTCTACTCAGTAGGCAAGTCAGTGGAACAAAGGGAGTTGTATGCAATGGAAATATCAGATAACCCCGGTATCCATGAAGCAGGTAATCTCCCATTATACAGCTTTGTTGCCTGACCTAAATTCTAGTATTTTGAAAAATGGGAAAGTGTTTCTCCCTATCTCCAAGCATAGTTTTGTGAACTTTGAATAAGTTCTACTATCTTAGTTACCATTTTTCAAAGGTACAAAGACCAACATCTTGTAATCTTTCCTCAAATGAGCTGGTCCAAGTCTTAATTACTTTGATAATTTTTAAAATATTTTTGCTCTGAAATATCCTTTTGTAGTTGCGGTAATCAATGAACAATGACACCATAGTAGAGCGTTTTGATTTTGACAGTTTTGTTTTAATTCTCTTTCTAATTATCCCAGTATTGAATTTCATAGAATGTAAAGTTTGAAAGATGCTCTCTAATCTTCTACTTACCACGGATTGCTATTCTTTCTTTTCGTAATTTGTTCTGCTTAGGTTGATTTGAACCCAATTCTGCTTTGGGAAGAAGAACAAAGTAGGAGCTCTACCATTTTCTTTTACTGTCCTACCCTCCCTTATGGAGGGAGGCTTACATCCTTTTTTCTTCCATTTACTACTGACACAGGCGACCCCCCCCCCTTTTATTACTTTTAGCTTTTAAGTTTCTTTTACACTTTCCTATTTTTTTCTGTATATAGTAGCTGTTTGTTTCCTTGGTGATTATGTTTATCTTGCATTTCCTGTACATGTCCCTTTTAAGATATCACTCAGTTGACAGCTTCCTATGTATCCATGGTGGCTTCCTAAGCTGCCCCCACCCCCTTTTTCTCACCGGAATGTGTGACATCTTGTCTTTGAGAAGTTCCAACCCTCCTGTATTCCCTTTGAACTGGTGATTTCTGTCCATGGGATCACACCTAGTACTTCTCTAATATTTGCCTGTATGAAACCAGCATGTCACTGATTTATCCACCGTCGCTCCTAGATCCTTTTTCTAGTCATCACTATCTTTTAATCCTATCGGAGTCTGTGTGTCAGAAAGAGGGTAGGAGAGGCTGGTTTGTTGTTGCTGCTGTTGTTTTGCCCCAGCATGCATCACTTTTCACTAGTTTATACTGAACTGCACTTTACCATCCATGCTCTTAGGTTGGGAGGAGTGTTTCGGAGTTCTTCATTGCATATTTTTGTTTTTACTACCGTAGCTTTTTAATATATTTTTTCCTATCTTGAGTTAATTTTGTAAGTAGGGTAGGAGAGAAACAAGGTTTTAAATTTTTCTTTTACAAACTTGAGGAAGAACTTCTTGAAGTAATAGAATATATACAGTAATTGCTGATGGACTTCTAAGTTTATAATAATCATTTTTAAGGACAGGTTGATTGAATTTTAGTTTGAATCTTTAGTTTAAATTTTGTAGTTTTATCAATAATTTCAAATGTAGTTTTTATTAAAGGGTCTTCTTTGGGCCAAATGAGTTTTACTTTCTAAGGTTTATGTCCATTATAGGTTCTGTTAACATTACAGACCATTTGTTTTGGCCTAAATGAAGCAACATTATGCTTCATTATTTTTGTTAGTTGCAAAGATTACAGTTACAAAACATTAGATATGTATGCATTTGGATGAGAATGTGCAAGGCGCTTGGAAAAATACATTGTTTATAAATCTGAATGTTGACTAATTCTCTTGTATAATTCATGTGGCATGAGCAGAGCTTGGATTCATTTGCTGGACTGCACATGGTGTTTTTGGTTCATGTTTAGAATCCCTCTAGTAAACAGGGAGAGAGCAACTAAGACCTCTTTCTTTTTGGTATGTTCATGTTTATATATGTGCTTTGATCTGCCCCAGCTTCTACACCTCATCCTGTTAGACAAACTGCTAAATATAATGGGTAAACTAAGTGGTCTCTATTCCTTATTTTTTCCTCATCCAGGTGAACCAGAATTCAAGTATATTGGGAATATGCATGGGAATGAAGTAGTAGGAAGGGAATTGCTCCTCAATCTCATAGAGTATCTCTGCAAGAACTATGGAACTGATCCTGAAGTGACTGACTTGATCCAAAAGACTCGGATACATATCATGCCATCAATGAACCCTGATGGCTATGAAAAGTCTCTAGAAGGTAGTCTTGCTTACTAGCTTTCTTGGTTATGCTTCTGTTAAAGGCTTTGGACAAGGAGAGTGGTGGCTTTATAAGGCAAACAGCTTCAGATTTCTCACATACTATAGGTGATTCCCCTTTAACCATAATGTACATAATAAGCCAACTTTCTTTTGTATGTATTAGCCTAGAATTTCTCCTGTCCTTGAATCGTCTCTGCCTGTTTCCTCGTTTTTTCCTCTGCTGCACTTCATTTATCTGATATTGCAGAAGTAAGGACTCCCTCAAATTGAGCTTGACTTCTTGTGACTACATGGTCATTTTCATGTATTTTTGTTGGCAACAATACAGAAGTGGTTTGTCATTGACTTTTTCTGGGAGTTATCCTACAACTTAGGGATTTCTTGGTACAGGTAGTCCTCAAGTTACGACCATTTGTTCAGTGACAGTTCAAAGTTTCAATGGTGCTGAACGAGGGGGACTTACAGTGGGTCCTTGGAGTTCCGGCTGTCCCAGCGTCCCTGCGGTTACATGATGACAATCCCTGTGCCCAGCTCACAATGACATTGCAGCTAGCCGTGGTCACGTGATCACGATTTCTGCCATTCCCTGTTGGCTTCTTACAAGGACTTCTGGCAGGAAGTAGCAATCATGTGAGGTCCTCATTGAACAACGTGCGTGGTCCTCATTTAATGACAGCAACTGGGACTGCCAGAATTGCATCACTAAGCAACGTGGTCACATGACATTGCACTTTATGACTGCATCGCTTAGCAACAGAGTTCTCAGTCCCAATTGCCATTGCAACCCAAAGACTACTTGTAGTCTCCTATCTAATTACTAACCAGATCTGATTTTCTTTGATCTCGAAAAAAGCTAAACAATGGAAACGACCATAGAAAATGGCTTCACTATTATTGCCAAGAAATCAATGTGGACATTTATTCAGTCATTCATTCAATTTGTGTGGCTGCCTGTCTCACCACAGTGATTCTGACTAGCTAACAGCATATAAAAATAATAAAAAAGAAACTAACATAAGCAACAACGTGGGCATCCCCAGGTCCATAACATAATTACCTAAATGGTCTTGAAGTTACAAGGAGGTATTATGAACTTGTGAGGATTTGCTAAAATAGTCTTCCTCAGATCTGTTGTCATTTAGTAGTGATTCATTAGTTCTAGTTTTAAATAATTTCCTGAATGACTTTAGGGAAGCAACAAGTCAAGTTTCAGCTGGGAAACTGTTCCAAACAGTAGCTGCTGTCACTGCTTTGGACCCTTTCACTTCCTGGAACTGGGATATTACTAGCCAAGATGATTGGCTGGAGTCTGGTCCTGGAGGTACCTGTGTGCCAAGCCTTATAGTGCTTTACATGTCAAAACCCGCATTTGAAATTGCATTTGGAAGTTTGTCAGGTGTCAGTGCAGGGCCAATAACACAGATGTAATATACTGCTAGTGATGTGTGCCAGTTAACATATGGGCTGCTGCATCCTGGATCAAATGCAACTTCCAAGTGGTCTTTTAATGCTGTTCCATGTAAAATGTATTGCAGTAGTTTAGGGAAGTGGTGATAATATACTCTTTTCCGAGGATCTAAACATTAAGCAATATGGTATCCTGCTTTCATGTTTTAACTCAGCAAAGCACTAGAGAAGGGAAGTGAAAGTGATGAAATTTTATCAGCTATTTAAATAGCTGAATGGAAGTAGTTGGTCTTTGAATTTTAGTTCACTGACTGACTTCAAAGTAATAAAATTGGATGCAGCCCTATAACAATGAGTGGTGATAAGCAGTGGATTTCAAAAAGGGGTGGCATTAGGAGTTGGAAGGTACAATCTTATTTATTTATTAAATTTATATAGCCACTCATCTCATGAATGTGGCATATAATAAAAACAGAACAATAAAACTACATCTTAAAATAACCATAAAAACAAGAAACATGCATATAACATGGGAGAGTGTTGAAAAACTCAGACATAATAGAGCTATCCCTGTTCCCAAGGGATCCCCGGGCCTGCTGGAAAAACCACATCTTGAGACATTTCCGGAAGACCAATCAGTTTGGGGCTAATGTCACCTCGGGGGGATGATGTTCCAAAGGGTGGGTGCCATGGGAGAAAAGGCTCACCTCCTGGGTCCCATCAAATGGAACTCCTTAGCAGATGAGACCCGTAACATGCCCTTCCTGCCTGATCTGATGGGAATCCCGCATGAATCTTGGGTTCATGCAGGAGCAAATAAATGGCATGGTTAGGAAGAATTGTCACAAGAGCAATAAAATAAGGGCTGTGGAATAATGAAAGTTGGGTCATTAATGAAAGAAAGAGACTGAGTCTAACAAGTCTATAGCTGATACCTTGTTTGGCAAGCCAAAACTTGGTGTTTGAACAGTAGATTATTTGGCTACACCTTGAATTCTTTCTAATGAAGGATTTTTCCAAACTGAATGTTTGATTAGTGTGAATATTTATAATGGCTTGGTCCCAAGGCATATTGCGGTAACAGTACACTTTGCTTCATGAGCAACAATTTGTGGTTCTTTATACAATTAGGCAGATCTCTACAGGCAGAACCTCTAATGTTCATGTGATGAATAAAGTGTTTGAGGGGAAGCTTTCATTTCTATCTTGGTGATTATAATATCTCTTAGACTTCGGTAAAGGAGAATTACAGAAGAATCAATACCTCTTGCTTTGTCTGCTTAAATTTGGGGTCCAAATTTTGTGTGCAGGAGGGATGGTTACTGGTATTGCTATAAAGCACAGGTGGCTCTGAGCTCAACAGACTTCGTTCCTTTTCTCAGGAGACATATCAGGAACTTTTGGCAGAAACAACAGCAACAACTATGATTTGAATCGGAACTTTCCAGATCAGTTTGTCCAAATCACTGAACCCCTGCAGCCAGAGACAATAGCTGTTATGAACTGGCTGAAGACCTATCCCTTTGTGCTATCTGCAAACTTGCATGGAGGTAAGAGGAATGCAGACCAACCTGTATGGAAATGTATGGCACTTTTATTCCAGATGCAGTAAGCCTGAGGGGTCACTGCAGGAAACTTACCAATGCATGGAAATCTCCTGAAAACCACAAAGGGTTTTCAGTATAGAATTTTGCCTGTATTATATAGGACTGCTGGCCACGGTCATCCAAAAGATAGCTTGTAGTGAAAAAGAGCATTCATATTCAGCATATGTGCTCTTATTAGGGATACTTTGAAAATGATTAGAGGAGTTGCATTAAAAATAATGCTGCTCGACTTACTTGATTTATTAAAGCAGATTCATATTTTTTTCAGGCTTGTAGAAGTCTGAAAAAAAGGCATGCATGCTTTAATAAGTAACTCATAGGTGCTGTGCTTGCATGAGGTCCAGAGAACTTTGGAATCATTTTTAAAGTATGCACAACCCTAGCTTTTGTGTAGCTCTTCTGAAAGGTCCGGTTTCCCCTTTTTTGGCTATGTGTGGACTTTACTGAGTACATTTCCTCTAAACTGGCTCCTGATTTTTAAGGGCAAATAACAAACAGGTGCTATCTTGCAGCCTCTTGATGCATTCCAGTAGGTGGATTCTGCTCATTGTAGTCTTTATTTACCTGGATTAGTTTTGTGGCTAGTTCTGAAGTCTAAGCAAATAGCAGTATTGTTCTTCACTGCGATAGTGAAACAGCTGCCTTCTATGTTATGATTAATTTACTCAAAGTGATAAAATCCTGAAAGCTATTTTTTTTCCTTTACAGGAGCTCTGGTGGTTAACTACCCCTATGATGATAATCGCCTAGGAGTTGCCGCATATAGTAAATCCCCTGATGATTCAGTTTTTCGGCAGATAGCTCTTGCCTATTCTAAGGTAACAATTATTGGAAGGTGTCTCCAACAGATCCTGGAAGGAGCCTCTGAGATCTACTGGGTTACATATTACACTCAGCTTCTGTAGTGTGATACGCAGGTTGTGATTCCTGGGGTGTTGCAAGCAACTTAGGAGAGGCTACAATTTTTTTAAAGCTATCCAGGCAAAGTATAATTATATAGTTTTCGATGGTGTACATATAAAGCATTCACAGTAAGGTACATATAAGAGTTAAAAGGCAGTTCAACTAAAGTAGAGCAATACATAATGGCACAAAATTCCAATGGCGTTATCTAACTTATTAGAAGGGCCTTCTGGAAGAAGTCATTATTTTAAATTTCTGGTCTTTTGAGATGGGGAAGGTTCTGTTGGATGATAAGAGAAAAGCAAAAGTGACCAGTTGCATGGTGGGCATAGATGGTGTTTACTATTTTGAGTCTGTGTGTGTGTGATAGTAATATCGTGTATTTATATGCCTGCTGCGTGCTGTTTTTGTTGGTATTAGCCACTAGGAGTCTTTGCTAATTATGGATGTGTGTAAAATAAATAATATTGATAAAGATAGACTCAAGTGAAGAGAGTGTGATAAAACTTGTATCTTTAGTAAGGGATAAACAGTCAGGACCAGAAATATTGGAAC